TTTTTTTTGGCTGGGACCTTCCCTGGTCCTTGCACGGCTGGGCCGCCCGGGAAAATAGGGTGATCCGGACGGCCCGGCTAGTAGCCTAGAAATGTACCCATTTTAGTATTTTACCGAGTGATATACGAAATGAAATTACAAGCTCATTTTTGTGCTCCTTGACTCAGTGGCATGTACCATTAGATCGTTGGGAACAGGATGAAGACAATCTACTCACATCTTTCGTCGGGAAATCCACATCGGGCTAATGTGGCTCTGCTTTTTCTTCGAGCTGTTGTTCTCCGTGGACGATTTGTAAGTTGATTAAAAATGGACCGAATTTGAATTTTGAAGCCCCTAATACTATTCGATCCATCTGATTCCATCAAGATTTGAACTCATGATCTGTTCAATTACAGGGACATGTGTGTACCATTCAGCATGCTCTTGTCGGTTAATTAAGAATCTGTATTATTATTAATTTTCTTTATTTAAAAAGGTTGTGCAGGCTGAGGTATAGGCAGAGGCCCTGCCCTGCCCTGATGGCCAGTGCTATAATCACACACCCAAGACACCCCCAGGGCAGAGCGGGGCATTCCAAGGCGGGAGACTCCCAATGGTACCAGTCCCTCAGTGACCCTTCCCCCCCCCAACTGCGTATGTTGTAGGTGCAGCCAGCAGGACGCTCAATGGGCAAGACCCCCCATACAACATCTACATAGCCTTGCGACCTTCCCCCCGTGGGGTACCCAGCCGGGGATGCAAATGCACCGGAGTCCAATATGGCGGGTTCCGGTTGCGGGCACTCATTCGAGCCAGCCAGGACTCAAACCCGTAGCCTGTGTCTTGCGACACAGGAACCTATAGAACACAGGCGCCCAACCAACTGGGCTACCGCACACCCTTGTCTTTTTCTTCTTCTTTAGTTGCCAATAGTTGGACCATTTCTCAATTTATTGGGGTTCCCCAGGCGCGGGAAAATGGCCTGGGGACCCCCCCCAAAAAATTCCGAATCCCTCCAAACCGGACAGCGGACCCGGACACCCAGACCCGGACTGTCTGGATCGGGATCCGGACGTCCGATTGGCAACCATGAACTTTCAAGCTCCAACTGCCAACTACGACATTGCAAGAATATCAGATTTCATGCAGTCGGCGGGGCAGGTACTTCGGTCGGTCGGGTACACACCTGTTCATGTGTGCAGATGCAGAAACTCTGCATCCGAGTGCCTCGTCATGAAGACAGGGAACTGCAGAGGGACAGAAACTGTCAGCCACGTCACGAAACCACAAACAACGAGGGACGCTGTGTCCCCAATTTACCCACGCCACACTGTGTCTCCTCCCCCCTCCCGCTGCACACGCCTCCACAACCACCACCCCCTTTCAACAGGGCTGGTCAAACAGGATGAACTTAAAAAAAAAACAAAAAAAAAAGAGTAAAACAAAAAAGCAATTGCCAGCAGTCATTGTCTTCGAAGTGTGCCTTCAAATCAAGTGGACGGAAAAAAAAAAAAAAAAAAGGGACAAGA